GCCCCCGCTGGCTGTGCCATGCGCCCGTTGCACCCAATGTATCCCGCAGCAGCTCCTGAAAGCCTCCGCGGGATACGTGTAGGCGCAACGTTATGGCCATCGCCCGGCAAATGGTCTGTTTCACAAATCACCCCCGTTGGATGTGCCATGCTCCCGTTGCGCCGAAAATACTCCACCGCAGCTCTCCAGAACCCCCCAGGGACGGCGAGGTCTCGCTCTGGTCCCCGCGGTGCCTCACCCCGCAGGACCCAGCAGCAGCCGTCGAAAGTGGCGACAGCGTCGCAAATTGCAGCCGCCCCAGGGACGGCGAGGTCTCGCTCAGGCCCCCGCGGTGCCTCAGCCCGCTGGACCCACGAGCAGCCATCGAAAGCGGCGACAGTGTCGCAGATCGCAGCCCCCCTGGGACGGCGAGGTCTCGCTCAAGTCCCCGCGGCGCCTCACTCCACAGGACCCACCAGCAGCCATCGAAAGTCGCGACAATATCGCAGATCGCAACCCCCCCATGGGCGGCGAGGTCTCGCTCAGGTCCCCGCGGTACCTCACTCCGCTGGACCCACGAGCCCTCGAAACTGGCGACAATGTCGCAGATCGCAGACCCACCCAGGGACGGCGAGGTCTCGCTCAGGTCACCGCGGTGCCTCACTCCGCTGGACCCAACAGCAGCCTTCGGAAGTGGCGACAGTGTCGCAGATCGCAGCCACCCATGGACGGCGAGGTCTCGCTCAGGTCCCCGAGGTGCCCCAATCCGCTGGCCAGCAGCCCTCGAAAGTGGCGACAGCGTCGCAGATCGCAGCCCCCCAGGGACGGCGAGGTCTCGTGCAGGTCCCCGCAGGACACACCAGCAGCCCTCGAAAGTCGCGACAAGATCGCAGATCGCAGCCCCCGCAGGGACAGCGAGGTCTCGCTCTGGTCCCCGCGGTGCCTCACCCCGCTGGACCCACAAGCAACCCCCGAAAGTAGCGACAGTGTCGCAGATCGCACCCCCCCCAGGACGGCGAGGTCTCGCTCAGGCCCCCGCGGTGCCTCACTCCGCAGGACCCAGCAACAGCCGTCGAAAATGGCGACAGCGTCGCAAATTGCAGCAGCCCCAAGGACGGCGACGTCTCGCTCAGGTCCCCGCGGCGCCTCACTCCGCTGGACCCACGAGCAGCCCTCGAAACTGGCGACAGCGTCGCAGATCGCAGCCCCCCGGGACGACGACGTCTCGCTCAGGCCCCCGCGGTGCCTGACCCCGCTGGACCCAGCAGCACCCCTCGAAAGTGACGACAGTGTCGCAGATCGCAGCCCCCCAAGGACGGCGAGGTCTCGCTCAAATGACCGCGGTGCCTCATTCCGCTGG